GAAGAGAGAGTCAGTGTATTGTGTCGTTGAGTCAGTGAAGGAGACAGTGTGTCCTCACCTTGTCCTTGTAGGTGTCGTCAGAGAGAGAGTCAGTGTATTGTTGTCGTTGAGTCAGTGAAGGAGACAGTGTGTCCTCACCTTGTCCTTGTAGGTGTCCTCAGAGAGAGAGTCAGTGTATTGTGTCGTTGAGTCAGTGAAGGAGACAGTGTGTCCTCACCTTGTCGGTTTCCTCAGAGAGAGAGTCAGTGTATTGTTGTGTTGAGTCAGTGAAGGAGACAGTGTGTCCTCACCTTGTCCTTGTAGGTGTCCTCAGAGAGAGAGTCAGTGTATTGTGTTGTTGAGTCAGTGAAGGAGACAGTGTGTCCTCACCTTGTAGGTGTCCTCAGAGAGAGAGTCAGTGTATTGTGTCGTTGAGTCAGTGAAGGAGACAGTGTGTCCTCACCTTGTCCTTGTAGGTGTCGGGCAGAGCCTTGGCGGTCTCCGTGCCGTCCGGTAACTCGATGAAGAATCCCAGCGTGTCTCCCTGACCGAAGCCAGAAGAAAAACTCTTTCCGATGGACTGGTGGAAGCGAGTTCCCTTCTTACTGCGCCACGAGTAGCTGAACTTATCGTAGCCCAGAGGCGCCTGCAGGTTACCTACAACACGAGAAAGAAAGGGGATGTCAAAAATACTTTCTCCAAAGCCCTCTCTATGCTTTGGAATACATTGGTGTGTTGTTTATAGGTAGCATCTTTGTTTAGCTACACATATTGAACCCTCTGAGGCATTTCTTTAAATCAAATCCAATTAAAATGTGCAGAACTATCTCAGGTTTCTCTAAAATCAGCTTGTAAAGACACATTTTGGCTCTAAAGCTGCAAAGTTAGTAAGATATTGGAATGCTTTTTCAAATATCTCTTGTGAAAACCTATTTTAACTCGTGTGGATGATGAGCTATTGTTTCAAGCATCTTCTGCTAAGCCCTGTAGACATGCACTGTGATTTCTGAGTCTCCACTGACCGAGGGGTTGGGACCACCCGAGCCTCGCGGCCGTCTCTGAAGGCATTTCATCCACCGTCACCTCGAAGAACCAGGACCCTCTCCGGACCCCGTGAGACGCTCGCACCATCGAGTAGCCTTTCTCCCCCGTGACCGTCAGGCGGTCGTCAGAGATCTTCAGCTGAGGCGCTGAAACAACAACAAAGGTTTGTTTTATAATATATAAAAATGCCCTATATATTATTTGTATTTATTGTTGTTGGAGCTATTTATTGTTTTTGATTACTTCATAGGTAAACATTTATTTTCTTCGTGTTATTGTTTATTGTTCATGTATATTTATTTAGTGTAACTATCTTTTGATAATTCTTATGCTTTTATTTTGAATGCAGTTTGGGCACTGGTGATAATGTATATATTGGAGAGAGGCGGTGGTGGGATTAGGCATACATTTTTTTACCAGGGTGAAACAAGCATGCCGTAGGAAAGCAGGCCATATGCAGGAATCCTGAAGTCAGATGTAAGACCTTTTAAGACCCTTTCCATACATTTTAAGACCTCATCGCCACTTTGAGTTTTAACCGGTTACCTTGGCGACACACTTTACCTCACATTGACTATATACAGTATTGATTGTCCTTCCTCCTTATCTTCCAACCATTTGGATGCAGACTTGCATTTCCCCATAACGATGTTTTAACAACCGGCGTAAACGGACCGTCGCGTGCTATCAAGCAGTGAGCGTGCGATGTCCTGTTCAGATGACGTCAAATCCAACGGGATGCCATAAATAAACTACACAGAATCACACTACACACCTACGCAATGATTACATTCAGGCAGACTGTAGAACACAACCTCTTTGGACATATATTTGAATTTGACAATTGATATACTTATTGAAAACAAGCTACAAAATGTAATACCTTGGAAAATGCCGTTTAATACTTTTTAATAGCCTCCATTTTCGCTCAATAGATTTATCAACTTTTATTACTTTTTAAGACCCCGCGGACCCCTGGAACGGAAATTATTGGAAACGTGTTAATTTGAGTTTTGGATGACATTGAATCAACAAATAAATGTCTGGACTTGGATCATTCCCTGAGTAACATTCTCTAGCTCGGGCCTCAGCGGCAGTCATATTTTTCGAGTTCATTATCAGTTTTATTTATTTCTTTAGGTAATTTCTACAATTACTATATTATTATTTCTTTAAATACATTTTTCTATACGTCTATTATACACATACATATCAGGGAATGGAATTTGAAAGCAA